CCCCCCATCTAAGAAGACACATCCCTTATTTGTATATAAAACCGCAAATTTATCTTGATTTATTCATTTTTTATTCACACACACGTGAAACTCTTTGAATTTTTCCCGCACGTTGCGGGACGGAAGTGAGTTGAAAAAAATCAATTACGAATTCAATTGAACTGAAACTTTACCGTATGATATTGCAATTGTAGATATCGTGTGTGTCTATGATCTCCTCTCAAATATTTCTCCACGGGCTGACGACGATGTGAATTCACGCGTGCGTGACCGTGAAAAGTATTGAGAAATTAAATGAAGTTCGTTCGATCAATCTCGACTCTTCCCGTATCTTCTTTTCGCTTTCCTAATCGATCTGTTGAAAAAAATGCGTGACGAAACGAGTATAGGAACAAGTCCCTCTCGAAATAGACGTCGTCTCGAGCGCAGTCTAATGCGGCACGCGTTTCAATAACGGCGCCGAGAGGCGATCGCGAGAGAGGAGTCTCGGAAGAAATGGAGAAGCACGTTCGACTTTGCGTGAGTAATTGAACTCAGTTGACTCTATAATCGCGCGCCGGCTGTGCGTTCCTCAGGGCCGGGTTTCCCCGTGAGAACACCACCCTCAACACTGTGCTACAAAAGAAGGAGAGAAAACAAACACCGAGACAATTGAACGAACTTCATGGTTCAGCATTAATCGACCCTTCTAGAGTTTTCATGTTCTTCTTTCAATTATTAAGTGAATAGAAATTAAAACGAAACAGTCTGTCTTTCGGTTTAAAGAGGAATGATTGAAAAGATTCAACAATTTAGAAAATAATATTCAGAGACTGGCATTCCGTTTACAATTTACGAGCATCGTTACATCGTCTCTTGCACGTTTTTCTTCTTCATACAACGGCACGCACATGTTCGTCGCAGGTCAATTGGAAAATAGTCACAAGACCGTTGTCAAATAGAACTATAATTAGCCGTTGTATTGACTTGTGATGAGAGGCTTGGGAGGCTTTTACAAACAAATCTCTCCCGAGTTTCCTTAGAGAAAAATATAGAAATGGCTCTCTTTTGTTAAAGACACGAATCTCCTCTTTTCCATCATGTTCATCTTTCGGAAGGATCTTACCGGGAAATTTTAAAATCGAGGTGCATCACCATCAATTTCAGAAACACCGACGGAACCAAACGACAGAGACTGACCTACGGACGTTCGTGCGTTGCATATGTATTCGCATGGTCGAGCGTGTAATCGCGTGTATTCAATGCAAAGTGCGTCAACAATGCGCAAGCAGATGTCACAGAGGTTACTACTACGGTGTCTCTCGCGCGCGTGTCCGAATATTAATACTGTCAATATACTTCGAAATTACAAGTATCTAAAATCAAACAAAATCCTCAATAATATGTTGCATATTTTTCCTTTACATAAATACGTCTACGCTCGTCAACCACTGTTGAACGCATCAGTTCTCGTTCTTTACAGAAATATATCTTTCTAGCGATGAGTGCAGACGCGACTCGGATACTAACAGCTGAACGAAGTATCTTCAGGTACTAAGCTGAAGAATAATAACACGAACACGTCGAAAATTCCAGACAAAAAAAAAGAGAAAAAACGTAGAACCCCATTAAGAAGGTTCAGCATGATATTTTTAATGGCGCATCACAAAAGGGTTGCTCATAAATTGAATATTTGTCAAGCAAAATTACTAATCCCAAGTAACACGCATAAAATAGTGTCAATTTTAGTTGCAAATATTTCAGCTCTCGAAGATGGTAATTTCCTTTTAATTGTAAGAGCAATTAGATAATTTTTCAGTATATACATAATGCAAGTTTTTCATCGAGTTCTTGTCAAACTCATTTCGCCTTACAACCTCCTCAAAACCGTTTGCAACAAATGTGAGAGTTTAACTGAGAACATGTTGCGAGATAACTTTTAAAATCGAAGTTATAGGAGATTTCTGTGGTCAATTTTTTAATCGGAGGAAGATATAATCGAGAATATATGTACAAAGTACACATCTGTGTACTATCAAATACCACCGCCTATGAGACTACAATTTCGTTCTAGTCGCGATTGGATAAAAAAGCGAGATATCAATTGGGCGCAAGTAAAAAGCAAATAAGTCGAATGTATGAGTGTATATTTTCGAGTATTATCGTATCGTTAGATATCAAGTGGCATCAGTAATCCTAAAGAAAAGATTGTCATCTTGACGATGACGGCCATATTTTCGCACATATAAACAGTTATGTTTCAAAAGATATTAGAGAGAGAGAGAGAAGGGGACGGGGNGGGGGGGGGGTCTCGCACATGTGCGCGCACATACAAGACTAAAATAAACAAGATAATAAATAATATAAATAAAAAGAATAGAATGTCGAAAGTTCGGCGATGGCCTGAAAGAATGTCGGCATAAGTCTGGTGACGTTACTTTTCCAAATATCATTCGTTCAAAAATAATGGAGGGTGAACGACCGTAACGCTAACCGGTTTAAAAATGAAGTAGCGTGTCCCGCCTGCATCGGAAGTGGAAGAGAAGAATGCGCGGACGGTGCGCGTTCGTCGGGTCGGGTTCGCGTGAGGAAGCCTAAAATGCGACCGGTAGTCATGAACATTTCCTAAAGATCTTTCCTTCTACTTGAAAGCAACCGATGAAACGTACGCGCATCGAGTCAACTCTAGCAGATCATCTCGAGTTACGTAAAAAATTCAACATGAAGCGAACTGAAAAATAATATTCTTCAAGATCGAATTTCATATCGCGGATTATTTCTACTATCAGCAACGTCTTTCCTTTCTCCTTCGCTTTTTGGTTCACCCATGCTCTTACGTCGTCAAGCATACGAGCATGTGGTTGATTTCCCTTTACTTACGGCCATTATGGATCGCGTGCGCGTGCGCCTGTGACATCTTCCGAAGCGCACGTGCTTTTTGACGCCTACGCCGTCACAATCGCAGGCAATCGTCTCGCGCAAAAAGGTTTTCGGCGGCAAAATCGACAAAATCACTCATGAACGTAACACGATTGAAAAATCGTTTGAATTTGTTGTTCGTCGACGTCGCGAAGCACGGATTTTGTCACTTGGTCACGATAGAAAATGGCGGGTACGCCACCACGTGACAACGTGTATCACACGTGGAAATTGACAGAAATATCATTTTAATGCTCTCATTTCATTAAAAAAAAAATGAAACACCGGCGAATGAACTTTTACCTTAACAACCGCGTGTCATGTTCGCGCCACGGCATGTACTGAGAAGATCTTAAACGTCACAATAATCCGCGAATCACGCGTCGGCGAACATATTTGACGATAATGATGAATATTTTGACAGTAAAAATATATTTCACCGCGTATAATATCTCCATACCTGCTTTGCGTTTTTTCATCCTCTTGAATTATTTTGCTCACAGCACTATAAATACTTTTACGAAAAGAGCAACCTCTCCTTAGCGATGTGTTCAGAGCAACAGTCACAGTAAAAATATCATGTAGACAGGTTAAGACTCACGAGCGACAATATTCTTCTTAGGATTCGATTCGACCAATCCTGGTCTCCTAGAAAGTCTTCTTCTAATGATATTTGCTATGAGACCAGGATTGGTTAGTTAAGAATTTTTTGAAATAGGAAGTGTGGCCTCTTAACCCGTTGGTATATTTTCGCGTCCCGCATTTTCACTTTCTCGTATTTTTATCTTTTCTTTTTATTTATCTACTAATTCCCTACCTTTGTTAACCCTTTATCTAAATTGTTTTTTTTAGCTACGGTGCATCTCAAATTACTGACAAAAGCGTCCGCTGTATACGAACGTCACACATCGCAAGGTCACTGCGGTGTGTCAGAAAAATCAAATAAATTGATACACATGTAGCTGCAGCTGAGCATGTAGTTTACGCGTTTGATGCGACATTTATTTGTTTCTATCGATGCTAAGCAATACGTAACAATATGTTTGTGAAGACATCATTACAGTAAGAAAATGAATGTTGAACCAAATTTACTGGACGTATACGCCCTTTGTAGCTAAAAGTTTAATTATCATGTTGTAAATTGGTTCAAACCTCTTTAATAGAATAGTTTATTTGTAATTTGAAGATAAATGTTTTATGTCCTAATTGTTTGTTGTAAGGAACGCACGATAATGTCTTGTATTTCAAGTTTGACACATGTACGTATATGAAATATCGGCACTTGTAAGAAATAAACGTATGTATGTAAAGGCATGAAAATAACAATATTTTCCTGTATATGAATACTAAGAGAAGAATATTACACGAATATTTATATAACTTAACGCACATTTAATCCTCATAAATACATAGTTATAGTTTCACACGTTGAAATATATTTCAATAAATAAATATAATCCAACTTTTTTGGTGAGAAAATATTCACTTAATGTACTATAAATCAAATGTTCTATCAAACCAAATTTTTAACTCGACTATATTATATGTTTAAATTATCCATTTTCACTATTTTCTTTTTATTATACAACGGCCATGAAACAAAACGGTTCTTCAGTTTAACCGTTTTAGTTCCAAGAGTCATTGCAGAAATCCGGATGAAAAGTGCTAAGCAGCGTTTCTTTTATTTTCGCTTGTCGCGAAGGGCGGTATTCACAGTCGGGCATACATGACCGTCTTAAATTCATCTTCAGGTGTTGTACTGCTCATTTTATTGGTTACGAAGCATCTGAGGATGAACTTAAGACGGTCTTAAATCTGAACACCGTCTGAAAAAGCGGCGTTGAAAAAGTTGCTGCGAAGATTACGAGAGCAAAAGTTTCAGTTTAGTAAAATCTCCTCAAACACTAATGATGCGCTGCGGTGGAATTAAAGCGCATCATCAGAGTTGAATCACACGGCATTTTTCGATTTTCGGAATGTGAGCAGCGTGATACTCAAACAGTTAAAACTTCGGACGTGCGTTGTTTCAAGTCAAGGATTTATGGTATAAAGCGTTGTCTTGAACTGGCACAAGTCGGCTATCCTGGCCCTATAAGTCTAACCTGATATAATCCCTTGCCTTTTTTCCGAGATGAATTCCATAATATCACGTTTTCACGAAGAGCGACGTTTCCCGCAGCTATTGCTCATTGTACTTCCGCTCTTCATTAGCCCGTTTGTCATATCGAGGTGCCATTGCCGCGATGTCACACTACGCGATTTCTCTCACTTACGATCCTTTCATGCGAGAGAAAGATTTTCGAGGATAATTTCGTAAACTAGCCCCTCTCTCCCCCACTCCTCCTTCCTGTTCCATCTCACTACCTGAAATATTAAAAATTTCTCCCGATCCTCCGGGTCAGTTTAACGTTTTTTCTCAGAGCTTGCGATAATTCTGTCGCCTGTGGTGCGTCATCAAACTCGCGACGTCGACGATACAGGCGAACGCGACGTTCGTCGCGCGACGATGCTGTTTCGCAGATGACCGCGGTGGTGGTGTGCACGACGTCGACGACGTCGATGACGTCGTAGCGACCCGGGGCTCCCACCTCCAGCGCGGCTGCATTTGGGGCTTTTTGCGGTTCTCGAAGCTTTTGTCACTTCACCCTATTCTTCCTCGCGTACACACCGCATCGCCGAACAGCACGCCTCTCGTTAAATTAACAATGGTGATAATAATTTGACCCAATTATTTCGCCAGTGTTGTCGATATACTTTCGGGTGTATCCGAGAAAGAGAGGGAAGGAGGGAGGCAGTGTCAGCGAGGATGACAACAGGTAACGGTCAGGCGAGTAGACACCCTTCTCTTACGAGCGCGAAATTCCCGTGCGTTACGGAGCGCGCGGTAACGCGACTAAAGGAGACACCGCTTGACAGTCCGCCGCGGTCCAGGTTTCCCACCCCACCAGCCGCTCGGAGATCCTCTCCTCACCCGTCGACATAATGCGCGAGCGAGACATCTCTACGTTCGTTCGCACGTAACGGTATCCTCGCGTAGCGGGTGTGTTGTGGCGGGAAAATCGCACGGTGACAGCCGCAGGATGACTCGTTTTTTCTTCCTCGAAGCGACTTCACGATGCCTGTTTCTTTCCCCCTGTCGTTATCCACAGGGAAAGTTATTTGTTTTGAACACTCGTTACCCATAAATGAGTCGCTACAATTTCTCCGCCTTCTTTACGCTACCGTCCATGTATTCTAGATATACATTGGCCTCTAGTAACGATCAAAACGTCGAAGAAATATCATTACGTAATCGTTATTAGAACGAAGAAAAAAACTCGATTTCCAAGTCGTTGAAAAAATAACTTGTCAGATGCATTGTTACAATCATGATTATCCGCGTACGCCCGTATTTTACGCCGAGGAGGTAAAGACAAAGCGTTCCGAAATGCACGGGCGAAATTACGAGCCGTTCTACTTAGAGCAGTTTCGGCGTACCATTACGCGCGGCGCCGTGTGTTACGGGGTGCGCATCGACGACAATTGCGGAGCGAAAATAGAACTACGCTCGTCTCTCATCCACGCGTCTTCTTCCGCGCTTGTCAAACGACGATGCGATTTCTCGGCGAACCGTATCTCGCCGACACTTAAATATGCGTGTTAACAGGAACGCGACGATTTCGGTTAATTCCGAAAGAAGACACAGACGGCCTTTTTCCACGGTTTTTCATTCATTCGAGAAACGTACGGAAAAATCAAGAGACGAGTTATCGATATTTTATATGCTTAGGAGAGAGAAAAAAGAAGGTCTAAATCGACAAAAAGTGGTGTTGAAAAGGCCAGCGAGCAAGAGTGAATGTAATCGGACAAGTAAACGCGAATAGCGGTGTCACTCGCGATGAAGTAAGTTTTCTGGTTGAATGCACGATATGTCTTATCTATGGCGCTACACCAGCAGATAACTCGGCTTCAAGATTTTAGACCGTCGCGCACCGCCGCGAAGGCGTACGCGACTGCTCCTCGTGCCGTACCGGCAACGCCACTCGATCGAATAATCCCTGCTTTTACGAAATTTCTGCACGCTATCGCAGTTGCTCCCTCTCTTTTTGTTTTGCTGTTACAATTGCGCTTCGCAAGGTCCCAAAATGCTACTCACGAGACCAGCGTGGCCGACGCACATTTATTATTAATATATGATATCGGGAGGTATCGAACCGCATTGACCGTTTCTTGTTCGTTAAATAACGTCAATTATAATGATATAAGAATTTGGTTTCATCATTAATCAAATCGATCCTTAGGGCCCGCACGAAAATATCAGTAAGCAATAAGGAAATTTTTGCAGCAGATTATTCTCCTTACGGCCGAAGACTAATCGAGTGAAACTGGTCAATTTGCTTACGTTTCTTCCATGTGTGCTCTTATTCGCGTTCTGTGATGTCTCACTTTCAGACGGGCAGTAGATAACGAAATTAAAGATTACGAGTTTACGATAATCGTCTCGTGTATTACTACCGGCGATCCATTGCAATTAACAATCGCTACATCGATCGTTCACATTACGGATTTGTTGACAGGCTGATCAAATGTTAGATACCACGCAACGCCGTAGATCTCCTCAAAATAGTATGAAATGCTCCTTTATCTTATCGTACCATACGGTACCTATCTCAACGTCGTATATTCATTTTAATTTAGTACCACCGACACACGAGCGACGTACGTGCGTCTCGATAAAGCGTCTCAACCGCCGAAATACGCAACAATCGTGAATACTTCATCTATCACCGACGAGCATATCCGAGGATAAACAAGGTGCGAGGATGTCACCGAATTAGCCGCGTATTCCCCCACAAATTTGCGAAAGTTATCTGAACGAGAACATTAAGCGAGGATCTAATCGGTGTTCTGCTTTAACGACAAATCTCTTCTACTGAGGGATGCGAGTAAATCACAAATAAAAGCATCAGGAAGGAAAGAAAGAATTCTGTGCTTTTATTCGATTTCAATTTCGGCCGTAGCGAGAAAAATATCTTCCATAAAAGTGCGATAGGATATAAGAACTAGACCACTCGCGCGCGCCATCTAAACACTTTGCGTAAATTTGCCGGGGTTCTTTAACGATTTCTGCAAATCGTGGACAGCGAGCGAGGAGCGGTTCTTGTTAGCTCGTCGCCGCTAACGTGAAGAAGACATTTCTTCTTGAGCTTCGCGTGTCCGCCCGCCCTAATTACGACGATCCTAATTGCGAGTACCAACTCTCGGCGCGTACCAGGCGTGAATTTAGATTTCACGAAAGTCGGGGTCACGGACGACACCTTAACTTTCAGTGGCCGTCGTCAATAAAAATTTCTTGTGAATAAAGATCGAGACGTAGGAATAATAAATAATATATTCTAAGCAATACTTTTTTCCCTCTTACATCCGGCGTTCATTGACTTATTTACTCGCCTAATATTTATCTTTCTTTGAAAGAAAAATCGATGAAACTTTTCAAAGTATCTGCTCGCGCAACCTGTTGCTTCATCTCGAAGCGCCGTTGATCGTGCGAAAACATCGCAGGACACTTCGACCAAACTTTTTCGCGAAATGAGGAAGACCGTACATCCAATAGTCGGCCGAAAGCCGATCTAACGAGACGTAGGATTGCTGAATTTTTACAAGGATACGACGATTCACAATAACCGAAATATGTCAAGGAAATAATCCGATCGTCGACGACGGCGTATATGTGTGTGCAGGCACAAAAGCAACAGTTGAAGAAATAAATCGCACACACGACGACAGATGAAGATGTTCATGATTCACGACGTACCGTCTCTTTTTCCGAGCCAGTGCTCGATTTTAGAGAACGCGCGATTCCCGCCCCGACGCGCTGTCAAACTGCCAAGGAGCCGATTTTCGACGGTCGATCTATTTATAAGCGTCGTTCAGACAAACACGGCTACTATGGAACGTTACTTGGCTCGCGCGCCGATTGTCATCGGTCGAACAATGTAACGATGCGATCGATAGTTCAATTTTGACAAGCGCAAAGAGGAACCGCTCGTTATACATACTTTATCGCGTCACCTTTGTAAAAGTAGACAAGCAACAATGTTTTCATAGATAATGATGAGATAAGTAGTTTCACGACGGAAAACTGTTCGATCTCTCAACACCTTTCTCGAAGAATTTCTTTTCCTTCGGCGAGCGTTTCGCTTCTCGTTCGTTCGGCGCAGTGATTCTCCCGCGATTACGGGATAAGGAAGAATTGCGATCACATTGCCTTTGAACTTTTGACATTCTACACATGGAATACTCAAGAGTTTTGGAAATATCTTAGCGATACGTAGGTATGACGATAAGGTAGTGGGGGGGAAATAGAAATACAACATCGGACGTGGAGAGATAACCCGCGCGACCTACTTCACGTCACGAAAACCACACGCGGGTCGGACTCCGTAAAAATGTCGTAATCGGAGAAGGCACGGAGAGGAGTACGTGTATAATTCATATTTGTGTTTTAACTAAGTAGAAACGCGCTATGTGCCACTTATTACTATTTATTACCGACGGTCGGAACGGGACGAAAAATTCACCGCAGCGCCGTCAGACGGATGGAAGAGGAAAAGAAAAGCGAGAAAACAAGGAATCTCTCTTTCTTTTCAGTCGTTAAATTCCGGAGTCTAAATTTAATGACACATGACACGAAAGGGGGGATTCGGCTAGCTCGCCCGCGATGTGTGTCGGTCGAGAATACCTCCCTCTGTCTCGTAATAAGTGCTCCACATGACGAAGCCGGAAAGACGTCCCGCCGACTCTGAGTGCCGGTATTTTTAATATCGTTCCTATGTTTAGCCGGCCAATGGGACGTTGGTCTTGGTCGTCGTGATTTCGTCTCTGAAGTGCTAACGACGCGGAAACGTCAGGTGTCAGTTACTGACGGCTCGAAAACCGTTCCGATTTTGCGGCGCCTTATCGTTCCTTCCTTCTTTCCCTCTCTCTCTCCCTTACATTGCTCTCCATTCTTTATTCGTCTTCTCGCGAGTACGCGCTACTCACTCGGCGCATCAATGAAGGTAGGAACGTCACATCCTCGCGGCGTCGCGCGAAGAAGAATTGTCGGAACATTCCTCGGAGGTCAGCGAGCAGAACGATTTTAGCTACGGCCTATTCGGACCGTTCGTCACGAGATGCGTCGATCGGATCGGTGTGATGATGCGTTTCAACGACGGAGGGTGCCTCTCGTGCCGTGATTAAATAATCTCGGCAACCGGACGAAAATCATGGAGTCCGCCTATTCTCAAAATTCGATCAAAATTCACCACAGTCTATCGAGGAAACATATGAGAAAGTGTCGATTTTGCTGGCCAACTAACGACATTTCCAACCACGTTTCTCCTGAAATTCCTCGTCTTGAACCAAGATTACGAGTTTTGTCTCGGAACACTACTCTTTGATAAACCGTTTGGGCCGATGTTAAGTAAGAAGCGAGCAAATCATCGGGCTGTCATCGGTCAGCCGAAACGAATTAACTTATTTATCGATTCAGCGGAACAGCGAAAAAGCATAGGATACAGTGCGGATACAGAGTGTGCAAATCCTCGCGTGTTAATCGACCGGCTATGCGGAAGCGCAATCTCAACAGTTTTAGACCGGTTGCCAAGACTCGCACGCGTATACGCGCGTCCTGAAGCATCTCTTCCGCGTGTGAATGCGATTGAGGGAAAAAAATTGCCAGATGAATGAGTAGGAGATAGGTAATATTCTCTCTCTCTCTCTCGAGTTATCTTCGTCCCATCTGCACGACGCTGCAATCGACCTCCGATAATCGAAAGAGTCAAGTTACACCGAGGGGGGAAAGATTCATTCTTCACTAGAAATTACAGTGGTTCTCGCGGTACTAGTTATAATTTTA